GTGGGATGATAAAATAAGAGAAAGAGAGAATATGGTTAGAAAGATAGAAAAGAGGAAAAAAGACAGAGAGGAGTGGAGAAGAGGAGAAGAAAACCCCAAGAGTAAGAGCTCTAGAATCCAAGGAATCAAGGTAATGGTGGGTCTTTCCATGGTTATGGGATTGTATGATAGTGCATGATGGATAGTAGCATATTTAGGATAAAAATCTCTAATTTCCATGGTGGTTGTTATATGATGATTATATGATAAATTTCTTCTTTTTTGAGGATTGAACTTATATCCATCAATTTCGAAGGTTTTAGGCATAATCTTAAAACAATGATTAGATGGTTTAATTGTATTAAAATTGTAAATTTACTTGAGATAATTACAGTATTGGATGGGTTGTAATTTTCCGAGAGTTTGGGTTTTAACATAATTGAAATCGGAGGTCCAGAAGACCTCCGACGGAAAAAAAAAAACACATAAAATTCTGCATGTTGTCCGTCACAACTGTCCATGTTTTCGGTCGAAATCGTTTTGGTCATAACTTTTGATCCGTAAGTCTATTTTGATTCTCGTTCAAAGCGTCAGAAAACTAATGAATAGAGCTATAACATAGTATAGATAATAGAATTGCTTGTCCAATATTTGTATATCTAATATGTTTGGGAAGCCAATTGTCTATATGTTCTATTAATGGATTGTTGTGCTGTTTACTGCTGGTTGTGAAATTATTTGTAGATAATTTATCGAATACTTGTGTGTGTGCTTGTATAAGTATATTTTAGGTGTGACAACATGAAATACATGATAGTTATTGCTTGTTGTAATGATAATGCGTTCGTGATTGTATTGTAAAATGTGTTGTACACTATTTAAAAGTTAATTGTGTGTGGATGATTCATAAAAATGTGCAAGTATGTGTAATTGTGTGGTAATTCAAGTGTGATGAATTATTGAAGATATGCATGAATGTTAAGATTAAGGATATGGTATTAATTGTATATGGTTGTTGAACTTGCACATGCATCATTTGTTGTCAATATGTAATGCTTGTTAGTTCCGTGGGAACTAGTGCCTTGTCCCAAACTTAGAGCGGTGTTTGAAAGCTTAGAAAATGAGTTTTTTTTTTATGTTATTGGTCTAGGAAATGGATCCGGTTTAATATAAAAACTGGAAAATAATAATAAGTGATTGGTACCACATACATGAGTTGTATTAGAGTATTGCATTGAGTCACATCATGTATATGTTTATAATATGAGATTATGTGAAATATCTGAAATTGATGAATTGACAAATCATGGAATTGTGAGTATGTACTTGTGTATAGTATGGTCACTTGAGTGATAATATATCGACGAAGCTTTTGGAGTGTGAGAATAATTATTTTATGTTTGTATACCATGAATTATATATTATTATATGATTTCGATAATTATGTGAATTAGGATACACCCATTTATTTTAATGAAGGTGTGTTTTAGCAAAAAACACCTTAGAGTGTATTTAATGAATTTTTAGTTATTAATTGCTAACACACTCCTTCTAAAAAATAAATCGGTGTATTATAGAAAATGTTTATAGGAGATGCTAACTTACTGTTGAAGCAGTAAAGCAGCAAGCAAAAATATTATTTTCGGAAGAATTTTCTCCGGGATTTATATCGTCTCCACGGGGGTCAGTGTGAGGGAAAGAATGTCGTTCGACAATCTCTACGTCTCTAAGGTTGGGTTTAAATGGTTTGGGATAAAAATGCAAAAGGAAAAACATAAAGCAAGAAAATAAATACATTCTTAAGAAATGAGAAAACTCGTAAGGAGTTGTATTTCGTTCTACCCATCATGCACTAAAAAATATATGGATCAAATGCACGCAACATAAATCACTCGTCAATATCATCACGTATCGCTCACAACAGAGGTTATGTCTAACGCAAAGTCGAGAGATCAACCGTATCGTCTTATCGGTGATGTATCACGCAACTCGACAACATGGAGCATTAAGAATCGATACCCACAAGAATATTAGTCCTATATTTATGTCTAGAGTTTAGAATCTAACAGATATTCATCTTAGATCGAGTTTGAACCGTATACATCTATAACAATCCAAACCCATTAAGTAAAAAATCAAGATAACCATCGATAAAGAGTTGTAAAACAGATTTTATACAAAGATTCATAAATATACATACAATCAAGATAAACTTACATACAAAATCCCAACAAATGAAAAATACATAGAGAGGAAGGAAGAAGAACACAAATCTTATGGTTTGTCAACTCCGATTGAAGTGGATTCGACTCCGGATCGTCAAGATGCACCCTCCAATGTTGTTTCTAAGCTAAATCTACTCAAGAATGTGTTTGATGAAGTTGGGATAAAAAGTTCTCAAACAACATAACCTAAAAAATGCTGAAAAAATGACTTAAATAGGAAAAATGGGTTTCCGTGTTCGCCTAGCGAAGTCCCGTTCGCACAGCGAACTTATGCCTCTTTCGCTACTGCCAAAACAGTGTTTTTCAGGCGTTTTAGAACTTCTTGTTCGCACTGCGAACTTTTGTTTGCTTAGCGAACATGAAGCAAACCATCACTTGTTTTGATCATAACTTTTGAACCGTAACTCCGTTTTACGCACGGTCGTAAGTGTTGGAAAGTTTATTCAATACTCTATAAGACAATGACAAAATATCATTGCTTATATACCTACAAAAATGAGAGAAAAACAATTAAACTCAATGATATTTACTCGATACACAATATATACACTATAATGTAAACTATACAACATATGCACAAAAGTTGAGGTTTATCGGTTGAATTAAGCTAATAAATGCCAATTATTCACACTCAAAATCAATACAGTTTAGCACTTATCACTTACACCCACTTATTTTTTAGAAGGAGTGTTTTAGTAACATGAACCTTAGGGTGCATTTAACCATTTAATAGTTAAAACTTGCTAAAACACACCTTCATAAAAATAAGTGGATATATCTTTAAAAAACCATATGTATATATATATATATATATATATATATATATATATATATATATATATATATATATATATATATATATATATATATATATATATATATATATATATATATATAATATTTAATAATAAGTAATTTTATGTATTCAAAAGTTGTTATCAACACATACTTTAATTTGCGTCGGAGAGTTTTAATACGAATTAAATACACTCAATTTTTTAACGTTATGTATAAGTTATGTATAGGATACCTAATCCATTACAAAACTTTGTTTAAAGATTTATAGATTATTACTAATCAGAGACTACCTCTCTTTAATTCAACGGCATTAACAACATAAAGCGCATAGCAGCTCCAAGAAGACTTACTCGGTCTAATTAAATATTTTTCTAAATAATCTTGTATTTATTTTTTTACAATAATCTAAATGTTTCTTATTCATCTGTATAGGTCTAGTTTTAACCAGAATATCTTTTTTCTTTAAAGCTAGGCTCATAAAGCAAAGAAACAATGTGTATCTTCCTTTTCCATAAGGCATTAGGCTGTTCTGAACAAAGATCTTAAGTAAACTTATTTTGCATAATTTTAATTTTTTTCTGGAAACAGGCAAACTATAATTGTACTTCTATTCTTTAAAAATTTATTTCTTTGTTTATGAAATTAATCTGTTTTCTTTTATTATTAATAAGATTAATAAAAGATATATATTTACTCTAGATAGAGGTAAGATCTCTAATCTTAGGTTGGTCTTAAACTTAGCTTTACGTCCTAAAGCCTTAGCTAGGTTATCAACGATAAAAGGATAAAGCAAAGCTAAAAATGGGTTCCTAGAATAATAGCTTCTTGAATGTTCCTGACTAGAAGAAAAGAAGTTTTATAACATATTTGATCTTTACAGATCTTAGCATTGGATAATTTATAACACACGGGTAATCTATCACCATTGTCTCCTCGTAAGGATTCTTTGATTTTCTCGTAATGTTGGATTGGAATTAATCCTTTTTGAATGCAGTTTAAATCTTTCCCTGAGTCTATTAAAGCAACTAGTTCAAAAATTTTATCTTTAATAATGAGATTTATTTTACTATACCATTTGTGAGATATCATCTTTTATATTTTATTGGTATATGGATTTTCATTGGTTGAAACAATAATTTCTTCATTAGTTTCCTCATGTTTTTTTACTAGAAGAAACTAACATATGTTCATTTTGAGTAATCATGTGACCTTGTAACTCTAAAAGTTTAAGTTTTATCTCATCATTCCGGGTTTTTAGAGTTTGAATTTTATTTTTTTAACTCTTAATTTCTTCTTTTAAGTCATTAATAGAAACGGTTTCCTCAACTGGTTTTTTAAATAAGTTCATAACATCTTTAAATTCTACTTTATTAACATGCATTTTACAAATATCGTTTTCGTCAATAATTTTTTTGATTTGCCTCATGAAAGCATTATTACTTTCAAATTCTTCCATCTTATCTAATATTCCTATTAGGATATTAGCTTGATGGTTAGTGAGAATATTAATTCTTTTGTTACAACTATTACAATTACAAAAGTATATTTCTAAACATTCATCAAAATTAGAATATGACTTCTCAAAATTATTAATTTGATGAATTTCTTCATAAAAAGATTCTTCATAAGATGGAGAGTTACTTTCTTCTTCATAATTTAACAAGATATTTTTTAATGTAGATATCAAACTTTCTTTTAACTCCTTTGAAATGTATAAATTTCCTAATTGATTAATTTTCTCTTGAATCTTACACTTATTAGCATAATGGCCAAAACGACCACATTTAAAAATTTTGACATCTTTGTCTTTATGTTTGGATTTAGCATAGGGTTTTTTTTGTAAGGTTTCTTACCATGATTTTTCTTATAAGGGGATTTGTAAAATTCAGATTTTTTTTTGTAAGGTTGTTTCTTATGATAAAGGAAGTTTTTTCTACTTTTAATAACAACCTTTTTATTTTTATTGTTACTAGGAGATCTTAAAAGAGTAGCTCCATATTATTCACAAAATGAACCCATTTCGCGCCTATTACTCATTTTTTCATTTTTAAACTTATTTTGAAGTTTGTAGGTTGTACAAATTTGTATACCAGTTTCAATAACATAATTGGATAATTCACCCACAGTAAAGGACTGATAATGAATAATCTCGTTGAAATTTTGTTTAATATTTGTCTTAACCTTCTCAGCAAATAATCTAGGTAAACCACTAATAAATCTTTCTTTCAAATAATCAGCAACACCATCTGACCTAAGGTAGAGTTTAGAAAGAAACATATCTCTATACCATCTACAATCAGACATGGTTGGACAATAAAGAGTAAGTAATTGGTATGTTGCTCTTTGGTGGAGCTTTAGAGGCTCTCCTACAAAGAACTTGGTAATAGCGTACAAGAGAGTTTCAACACAAGTAGATTCATTAGATTTTGTTTTAAAAGCTAAGTAAATTTGGGTTTTGTCTTCAGGACTAAGGAGATTATCCCACCATCCTTTTATCTGCCCTGTAAACCTCATAACCAATATATCTTTGGTATGCTTATCCGTGTTTCCATTGAGTTTAAAGGTTGTAGCAGCCATAGTCATATTTTGTACGATATCTAACACTTTTTATTCAGAAGCACCATCGATGTTCCATTCTATAATGGATTCTCCTGAATAAATATTTTCAACAAAACTACTTCTTTCTTTAAATTTCACATCAGCAAATGACGGTCTAGAATAGTAGTTTCGGGTTTTAGGTCTTGGTGCTCTTCCACCTAATTTACTCACCACATTATCAAATTCTTCTTCCTGAGATAAATTATTTATCTCTCTTGAAGAATTTCCCATGTTTAAGGTCCTTAATTTTTCAACTAATTCTTCTATCTTATGGTTAGCATCACAACCTAAACTCATACCCTTTAGCTCTTGGGTAGAAGGAGTATGGTAATGATATATAGATTAGGTATGGTCTATTTTAAATTTTTTAACATCCTTAGGTTGAGGAAAAGAGTTTTCTATTCTCTCTAATTGTTAGGAAATAGTGTGAAGTATTTGGTTTGAGTAATTCATCTGACTATGCATATTATTTATGTCTTTTTTCTGTTATATAGGATTCAGAATTGATTTAAAAGGAGAAGCCTCTATTTCTATTTTTTTCTTTGGAAGGGGTAGTTTTTATGGCTTCTAAAGGTGGATGGATAGATTCTATTATATTTTTTTTTAATAGTCTTCCATTTAGTACTAATTCTTATATTAGCATCCAAATACATCTTAACAGCAAAAGGATTTTATATCCCTTCTTCTAAGAAAAGAAATTCAAACCATATGAATAATAAACATTAATCTCATGATTTTCTAAAAATTTGTAAAAAAAAATTTGTAAATACATTTGAGCATGGTTTTTAAAGAAAGATGAGAAATATCAATTTCTCTTCTTTGAATTATACTCAGCCTCAAAGTCGGCTATAATTCAAGATTTGTTAATGACAAAGGGTTATTCTTTGGTAATAACTCCTAATATTTGAGACTCAGTTGGAGATGGTGACCTAGAAGTCCTCTCTAAGTAAATTGGTTGGGGATTTGTAGGAGCAAAGTTTACTCCTGCAAGCTTAACCCTAATAGTTGAATCAACAGAATGTCTAGCGTTGGATGTTGATCTGATGCTACTAGACTGATTATACAAAAAGATTGGCTCATATTCATTCGAATCCTGACTGATCCATCAGTATCCTGAATAACATCTATAATAGATCTAGCTTCAATCTTTTCAGATTTAACCACATCTTGCAAAATTCACTCCTGAGGGAATTTGTCAATAATATCAGAAGCAGTAAGAATCTTCGGGATCATAACATTAGATATGTTAAGATTGGCTTCAATAATACATGTTTTATTTCTAGAAATAGTTTTAAGAGATTTAAAATTGTAATTAAAATCAGAAACTTTGTAGGTAATTCTACTAATAATGTCTATGCTGGAAACTCCAGGATTAAAGGTGTCACTTAGGCCTTGAACATATATGACTAATAGCTTTTAGTGAATTCATCAGTTAAACTCATAGAGTAATTAGGATGGAAGTTAAAGTAAATTGGAACATCATTAAGATTAGATTTAGCTATAGTAATAGTTGAGTTATGAAAATCTTTAATATGAGTATCACGAAGGACTAACAGAATAAATGTGTTTAGCCCTAGTTATGTAAAGACTTTATAGCTATTTGGATTAATCATAGATGGAGATAACAATATCCTTCTGTAACATGATTTTCTAACATCTTTATGTTTAACATATTAATGATTTCATGTTTATTGCATATAGATGTAGCAAATTCTGTAGTATGAATAACTTTTTTACTATAAAAATCAAACGTGCTAATTTAATAAATTTATTTTAATTTGATTTCTGACATAGACCAACTGACTAATCTATTTCTATTTCTTGAATTTCTAATTCTTGATTTTGGAAAGTATCTTGATCTAGTTCAAATTTATTATTATCTAAGGTAGGAGGAAATAATGTTCAGTTACTAATATTACTACGTGAACTGGATCTTAACTCACTCAAAGCCTTGATGATTTGAGACATGGTTACTAAACAGTAAAATTTTCAACAACTTTCTATTATGAAACTGGTTATTTTTTTTAGTTTTCTTACCTACTCTCTATATCTCTCTTTTCTCCCCCTTATTGGTTATTTTCTTAATGGCAACTACAGTGTGTTAAACCAACGGTTTTACTGCCTCACTTCTCTGACTTACGACCTGGACCACACACTATCAGCAAATACCCTTAAAGAAAATCAAAGTTCAAGGTTATGGTTGAAAATAAATAGTAAAATAAGTAAAGCATTAAAATAACTCTATTTTTATAGAAAAACTAATAAGAATAATAAGTAATTACTTAAAGATCGTCTGGCTCTGATACCAGAAGATAAGGAATATAATAATAATGAAGATAAGTATTAAAATAGATTGAATAATCCAAGTTAAGGTAAATGTGGAAGTAAGGATGAAGGTATTTAAAGACATGATTTTATTGAAAACACTTACAAGAATTTATGACAAACTCAAGGTTTCTAGATTGAGACTCTCAATTTTCAAATGTCCTTCACAATAAACTACATTCCCTTACATAAAGAAGAAAAGCATATGGACTTCAAATAAAGTTTGAATCACCCTAAAACTATGCAAACAAGTGGACAACAAGGCCTAATAATAAAAAAATGATTCAAAGATATTCTGGCCCACATTGCCTTAAATTAATACAACTCACCAAAAAAGTAGCATGCCAGCATGGGCTGATAAAAAGCAATCTTATCTTCAGAAAAGTAACTTGATCTGATCTTTAAACATCTTCAAACTTAATCCTTATCCTTTGAGATCTGTAATTCCATGGCAATCATCTTCATTGTCATTCAGGTGGTTAGATGTGCTGGAAACACTATCTCTTTCTGGCAAAGTTGACATAACATCTTTTAATTTATTTAAAAATTCAGTATGGCTGGTAGCAGATTGGTATTTTTGTAAGGGTTGGGATGAGCTTTACATCAGGCTTTCAACTTTGCTATTGTTAGTAGATCTGGATTAAACTTAATCCACCACTTAATAAAAAAATTTCTTAATCAATTGAGAAGCTGGACAATCTTTCCATAAATGTTCAAACGAAAAGGCCCAAGAGGTAATCCAAGTAATCCCAAAAACTGCGCAAAAAGATAATAAAGCCTTGTGCGAAGGACAAGTAGTAACTGAGGTAAAGTCATTTAAGGCTTTAGAAGCATAACCGGAGAAATATCCAAATTGGGTCCAATAAGCTGAAACCATTAGATAAACCAATAGAAAAATTTTAATGAAATATCTTTATTAAACTAAATAAACCAAGTGTAGTTAAATAGTTCTATTGATAAGAAATTGGATCGGGCGTCCATGTAATCCAAATAATTGTATGTTCATAGAGAATAAGACCTTGAGAAGGATTTTTCTTCTGTGGGGTTGCTTCTAATCTGATGGAGATAAAACTTTAATAATTTTGAATTTGAATAACTTAATTTTTTTATCCTTCTCATCATATTAACGAGTAAGAGAAATAGAATCAGTATCAACCAAAATAAACTCATAATATTCTCGAATTTTTGATAAGTCTTTTGGTAAAAAGAAAAAGTCAGGAGACCAAAATAAACTCATAATATTCTGGAATTTTTTATAAGTCTTTTTGTAAAAAGAAAAAGTCAGGAGGGAAAATTCTTGAAATAACTTGTAATAATGACGCATTTAAAAGATAGTGCATAGGCTCCAAAGGTATAATCGGTTCTGATAGATTTTGGGTAATAAAAGAAGATTTTATAGAAGATGGTGGAGTGTAAAAAGCTAATTTTAAAGTGGGTTTATTTTGAGAAGACGGGGAAGTAGTAATTTTCTGCGTAAAAGATTATAGAGATAATAATGCAAGCCTAATCATAGGTTTGGGGGAATAAGGTATTGGAGAAATAATTTTTGTAATATATGAAGGTGATCCTAAAACTATGGCTTTATTATTTGATAATAATTGAGGTCCATAATTATCTATGGGATCACTCTATTTCTGGCTCATTTTTCCCTTTAAAAATTTTTGTTAAAAAATCTGATAAATTTTTTTTAATGTCTTCAATATGTTTTATTTCAAAATCAAAATAGAATAACAAATATTTCCATCTAGTAAAAATATGTTTTTGAAACTAAATTTTTAACATTTTTCTTTAGAACACTCTTTACAGCTTTTCAATCTGTTTTTAATAAAAATGATTTCGAAAACAAATCTTCTTAAAATTTGATAATTTATAAAACAATGATTAAAATATCTTTCTTAATATTACTATAATTTAATTGGACTAAAAATTCTAGATTAATATCTAACATAAAATCTCTCGCATTCCCTTTCCTCCTCTCCGCATTTGTTTATTGAAATTTTTCTCATGTCATCCTCTTCATTTGAACCAAACAAATCCTAAAGTAAAACAATATCTGATCTGATCTGATCAGAAAGGGATCGCTGGCTGGCCACACTCTGTTGGACTGCTGGCTGTTCACCGATGATGAGATGGAGGAGGGGATGTACCTGCAAGGCACTCCGATGCCAAAATAAGTCTAAGGGAAGAGTGGTCACAAGTACAGAAAAGGGGGTAAGAAGTGAATTTACCTGACCCTCTTGTGAAAGAGGGTATTTATAGAGAGACCTCAGCGCTGGGCCAACGATCACTTGCGTTGGGCTAGATTTCCAGGCCCAACCCAGGTGACTGCTAGGGCTTACGTGGCGTAGTAAAGACCAGGACGTGGTCTTCGCCCTAGTCCAACTGCCCCTTGATCTCCGGAAAGTGGGTTGGACCTGCTCTTTCTGAGGTGGGCAGTTGGTTGGTGACGTGTCCCCGCGGAGGGGGGCACATGGAGAACGTGCGCATGGCGCGTTGCTCTCCCTGCAGAGGGGAGCTCACGAGGTTCCCCGGAGGCGTATTGTTCTCTCTGCGGAGGGGAGCACCGGAGGGAGTGGGAGAGACGCGTTGTCCTGCTCGGCGGTAGGGGGATTCTGCCCGCGGAGGGTTGTCCTGCCCGACGAGGGGCAGTGATT